AGCGATCACTCGCTCCGGTGTGCAGATGGCACACGCGCCCAGAGACCGAGAGAGGCACACCGGCTCGCAGAACCACCGTTTGCTATGTGCGCACAGATGGAACTTATAATTTGATGGCCAGGTCAATGCACCTTTGGGGTACGGGCGGGGAGAAGGAGGAGGAGGGCGGTCAGTGGCACATTTGTGCAGCGCACGGGCGGTTTGAACCCGGCGACTCAAATTAGATTAGCTATCACGGCTAACACCATCACTGACGTGGTTGTGGGGGGAAGTCTTAATCCAGCAGTGGATTATTGACAGGGGGGGCTGTAAGTCACCCATTATAATTGAGGGAAATTTCCACCGTTGAATTATATCCACATTTTATCTGAGCATAAGACATGCCCAGAGAAAAAGTGGTCTTTGGAAGTGCCGAATATTTAGAACTTATTTCGCACCGTATGTAGCCAATCGTGCTCATCGCAGGTACGGGGCAGGTGCGGGATGGACAAGAAACGTAACGCAACAACAAGCAGTTCTGCACTAATCCGTGGAATAGAGGAGTCAACCGGACAGCGATTGCCGATTCCCCGCAATGTTCGCAATTAGCCAGCCGCACGGATAATAACTGTGGAATTTCCCCTCGGTAAATGCGCATAACAGGATCCGCTAATATCGTCCAATACATCATCATGGTTAATATGAGTTTCACTGTACTGTGAATGAAAAAAAAATCAAACAAACATTCGTTCTTTGATGTACCCACTATAACATTATTATAAACGCTGTTGAATACGTCTTAACGTTTTCGTAATGTTTCTTTGAAGGTATTTATTTTTAAAAGCAAGCTGACCGACTTGTAATGAGAATTTGTTTTATAGTTTAGGGCTCCGCTATTTATCTCTCCGCTGTGAAAATAATTCTAACGTTTTTCTTTGTTTTACTTTGAAAAGCACAGTCTGTTGCGCTTTTAACGTGAAACATTTCCGTCGGCTATTTTTGACGGGACTAATTAGTGAAAATGTTAAAATTGAGCATCAAAGTTGAGTAATTATACTTGTCGACTGCTTCAATTATAAATTACGTCCTCCTGTTCCGTAACTTTACATGAGGGATTTTGTAAATATATTGCGTGTATTTTTTTAAGCTTGCCTTGTTTCTCTATTTTTTCCTCCCCACCCCTCCCCGCGCTCGAGTAGATTAGACGACGTGCGGTTTCCTCTTCGGTGTTTTCACGTAAAGAGTACTTCGATGTCGCGAGATGAACTTTGCGATTGGGGAATGCGATCTTAAAAACGCCATGTAATAATCGCGTGCGTTTCAATAGTATTTGCAAAAAGGCTTCGGGGCCGGGTCCGCTCTTCAGTTTTCTGTACCTCGACGAAAAAAAATCAACGACGTGGAATGTCGTGGTGAGATTAGCGTGGTGAGCGGTTCGGTGAGAAGTCTTCCAAGTGTGTCATTCGGATTACTCTCAAACGTGACTCACTCCGCAGACAGCCTTGCCCTCGCCAAAAAAAAAGTATCGCCACCACAAGGGTTAAATATTGAGCAGTGACTACAATCGGGCACTGTAAATGTCAAAGTGTCGTGAGTTCCTTCTAACGGCCACAGCCTTTCCGTTTCATTTCCATATATCCGCATTACGACATTTCAATTTTTCAACGGGTTCATTTAATTTCCAGCTCCATCCCCGGCAGTGAACTCGGGTCACGGTGGGTCAGTGTCTATGCGAAGTGGCGACCAAGTGAGAGAGAGGGTTTTTTTGCCTGCTCGAAGCCAGCCAAGCCCCCGCTTCGCGTTGTCAGCCGTGACTCAGTGGGGCACGCAGGCCGGATAGCGGTCAGGAGGGCGCGGACGAATCTCTGTGTGACGGTGTGACGCTCATGGCGATGGTGGTTGTATGACAACTCATTCTGATGCCTGCCTCTCCGCAGACACAGACGATGCTTTGGCGATGAATGCAGCGTACGACCGTGATTAATAATTCTGGCACTTCCGTTACAATAAACTGTTGCAACTACCCCCATCTCCATCCCCAACCGGCTTGGCTGGGTTAATGGTTGTTTATAGACGTATTTACTTTCCTCCCCGCTCGTGCTGTTTCTCAGAGTAGTGCAGATTTTAAGAGCGGAAGTGTGTCATTCTTTTAGTTTATACAGTAGAGGTGTAATGATGCAATGGGGTGTCAGCGATTCATGTAGAGTATTAGGCTCGTAATTAATACAGCAAATCACGTATGGAAGATTTTTATTTTTTTAGAATCCTATATGTTGCTTGGCATGGTTGGTTTAGCACGGTTGATTAGCAGGGCTGCCTTCGTGCGGTGCATCATAAGTTGGATATACAGGGGTATAGGCTGCTGCGGGGCTACTGTTAGAGCAGCAGAGGGCAGCGCAGCAAAATAATATGTTGAACTGTACTTTTCTCTTTCGTCATGGGACCTCCTTTGCCAGTACCAAAATATGATAATAGGGTTTTCCCCTGGGAAGAAAAAAGGGTAAAACCTTTGATCATATTTTGGTAAATGCTCACCCCGAGCTCTCATTACTCTTAGTGCTGTGTACGCCTTTTGGCGTCCTCTGGTCTAACACCGTTTAAGACGAGGCTCAAAAGAAAGCTGTTTCTGGTGTGGACCAATCAGTTTCAAGGACAATGCATATATTATCAGAGTGTTTTTTTTGCATTCTGACCACAAGTATCGTGGTTAATGCAGACATGATTCCTTGTAAAAGGTTTCATTTTGGTGTTATAACATCTTAACGCCTGTTTTGTTGGCAGAAAAAGGGGAAAACCCTATTATCTGTACTTTTCTCCGTTCTCTTTCTCCCTGCTTGGCCAAGTGACTCAATTCAATAGGTTCACCGTTACGTACATGTTATGTATATCGTTTATTGTTAAATTAGAATCACAGTTCCTATGATTACTGTTGTTACATTGTTTTTGTATCTTTATTTTGGTGATTTCGAAAACATGGTTAAGCCATGTTTCTTGCGGAAGTGCGGAGTTGGCCTGATAACTTTAATCTAAATTATCCTATGGATGTTATTGTTTGACTTGCATCACACTGGGATTTTTGCACACAGCGTTGTAATACGGTGTTTTTTTCTGGAAGATTTGCTGGTTTATCCAGGATGTTTCTGTTCATATTTTGTTTGTTGCGGTTGCGCCCGACTCAAGAGCCGCATGGCTCACAGGGCTACACCTAATACATGAAACTTGAAACTTGTAACATGACCAGCACGGCACGTGGAAACCCTCACACACAGTCGATTTAAAAGTTCCTCGGTGGCGAGATCTTAACTACCTCGCCTCGTATACAGGAGGACGTGGGTTCGATCCCGACCCTGACGCCTGTATATTTGGAATTTGCATGTTCTCCCTGTGGTCGTGTGGATTTTTTTTCGGGTCCTCCAGTTTTTCCCTCCACATTTAGAATGAACATCACGCGTTTAAGAGTATTTGGCTGCTCTATACGTTTTCACACGATAAGCCAGTTTAACACGGAGGCTTACAATAAGCCACTTCGTTGAGCTATCATTTGTGGCCAGGTCGCTTCTGAAAAAGAGCTGCATAGCTCAGTGGGCCTTTCCTTGTAAAATAAAAATATAAAAAGGGATGCACATGTAAATATACTGCAAAATCTATTTTAGCAAAATACATGTGTGTAATTGATGTTGCTGCAGTGCTTTCTGCTGCCCACCACGTACTCCCACAACCTAAAATACCTCTTTAATGTATGGCGGTACCCATCTACGACCTATCCATGTTCAAACCCTGCTTGGCTTCCAAGATCTGATTAATTATTTGGTGATAGTGATCGGACAGCATCGGGCGCATTCCAAACCGATTCGGTCATAGGCCGCCACATCCGATGTACAGTTATGATAAGTTAAAGTAGACTTTGTTTCAAAACAAAACAGTGTAAGCAGTATTGGCCACAAATATACCAATACTGAAATATTACCTCAAAATGACTGAATTGGGATTACACGTAGAAAATTTCCTCCTTCCTGCAAAGACTTGGCAGGAGCATCCTGAGGCTCGGTGGGACTTTCCTGGGTAAATAGCATAATATTTAGAAAAAAATAACCAGGTGAGAACTCAAGAGACAAGGATATTCACGTTTGCAAGAGTAACCTGAGTTGGTAAAAGCTACGTAGGTAAAAAATAATAATACTCAAAGAAAATAATAATAAATGAAAATAACTAAATTAAATCACGACGTTTTGGAGGCAACACAAGTCTCCGTCTTCAGGTGGGACCGTCACAGCTAAAATTATTGTATCAAGTGACGATCCCACCTGAAGACGGAGACTTGTGTTGCCTCCAAAACGTCGTGATTTAATTGAGTTATTTTCATTTATTATTATTTTACCTACGTGACTTTACCGAAAAAACAAAAAAAAACATAAAGAGTATGATTTCTTGCAGTCACGAAAGCTTCAAATCTAGAATTGGTAAAAGCTACTTCGTAGACTGCTGTGTCTGATGTATCCACTTTTAAGAACCTCGGACCGAGTGGTCACAGTGGAGGGTTCACGTTCTTTCCTGCATTGCCGTTTACATCCTGTGGTAAACGCCGTGCGCGTGTATGTGTATTTGCGGTTTGCGTGCGCACGTGTAGAAACGTGCAAATGAAAATTGTTGCCATTCCACCACTGAGAAGATACATATCCCCCTTCGGCCACTGCCCTTTATGTCGTAAATTCATATTTCAAAATCCCTGACATTGTGGTAGATTTGGGAGAGATTAGGTCTGAGTTTTAATGCTAAACTTATTGGTTTTAATAAATGCTTAACAGAATCGTTTTCTCGCTTTTCCCGTGGGTTTGTTTTCAATGTTGTCTTGTGCTAAAAAGCTTCCGGCATATGGGTGACTTTGATTTGCGTGGACCTTGCGATGCTCAGTCTTGTCGGGTCGCCATGCTCCTTCCTGATCCCCCGGATCGTGGCTTTGCCATCCCCCTCCCCTTCCCTGTCCACCCCTCCACCCACACACCGTCCTTGTGTTCCTGCAGAGGCTACGCCGCCAGTCGATGCGCTACCGCAGTGACCGAACCTACCCGACTACCTCCGGGGAGAACGAGGACAACATGCGCAAGAACCGCTACAAGGACATCCTGCCATGTGCGTTTGCGGCAAGCTGTTAGCGCCCCACCCCCTCCCCCTGTCACACGCGACATCTCACGTCTTTCACTCTCCGCCGACATCCGAATTCTCGGCCTCGGATGACCCGAGCGGGCTCCCCTCCGCTTAATGCCTTGCCGTCGCTAAATGCTCCCATGAACGAATCACCCCGAGTGCTCCCGATCTCGTCAGATCTCGAAGCGGGGATTTCAGCCTGCGAAGTGATTGCAATAGGGACCATTGTGCATATGCAGGTTGTTATAGGATGCTGTGGGGCTACGTGGTGGGCAGGAGAGGACAGTGCAACAAAATCAAATGTGTGTACAGTACTTACGTGCTCCCGCATCTAGACTCTCTGCCTTCAAAAACCTGCACAAATATGGTCAGACAACTCCATAACCTGCAGGAAATTAAGAGGTTCCTGGGCGATTTCATTATCGGTTCCTTACATATACATACGCTTAAATATAAGTGTGTGGTAAGCCTTTGGGGGCAGTCCTCAGCCTCTGTTAAAGGGACTACATTTAAAGGCTCTTGGCAATACTGTATATCTGCATTTAAATAGCCTCAGACACCGTGTACTCTGAGCGGGACCCTAAACACATACCTGACCTCGTCCTGTTGGACTCCACCGTTTAAGTCAATGAAATACAAGTTGTTTTAGTGATGGCTTGGCGCCACTACAGCAATTATGTCTGTTGGCTAGTGTCACCAAAGTGGGTGTAGGGCAGATGTGATGTGGAGCTCGTTGGGTGTGCGAGTAAATGGTTTTGCGGTCTCAAAGCTGGTTAACATTGCGTGTACAATATGCTACCGTATTCACGCACAATCGGTTGGCATTCACCTAACATTGCAAAGCAATCATTACGGTCATAGTGTTAAAATTGGGGACTTTGGCTACTGTTAACAAATTAACAGCTTCTACACCAGGTGTTCACAACATAGCGGGCAGCTTGAAGTTAGTTTCCTACGCTCATAGGTGTTTTACAACGCATATTGGACTAATTTTCACCAGTACAGTTCTTCCTGCCAATTCTTCCTCTGGATTTTAACGCAGCAGTTCACGCCTAAATTTTAAATGGAGCATTCTGAAAGCGACAAAATGAACGTAATTTCGCAAACGCTACCGTGGACAATCTGCCAGACAAACGACAAATAACAGCGTTCCAAAAATATTCTTGGCAACGTTTACTCGCCACATACGAAATAATTTCTCGCACCGATTACGTAAGGCTGGCACCGTGGTGGTGTTTACGGAACGTGGCTCTTGTTGTCTCGTTAGAACGCCATGGTGCAAAATGCCATTCCGCACGTGCTTTTCAAATGTACACGGTACCTTCTGCGTGCGGAGTTTTATCGTAACGCCAGTCCTAGGACAACCCCCAGGGACGCATTTGCCGAGCCTCTGGATCCATAGTGCGCCATACGCCCACACGCGTGCTCTATGAACATCCGCCCAGCATCGTGGAAATGTCCCTACCACCGAAAATAAACCCCTTGTTGAGCCGAGGCCAAGCGCAGCCTGACGTAGTTGGTTTCGTTCGTGTCATAATTTAAGACGTCCTTTGATGGAGCAAGGTTTGATTTGCTTTCATGTTGCGTAAGTTTTTGCACGTTCCAAAAAAAAAGCCGTCAGTTGTTCTGCCAGAGCACTGCTGCCCTCCACACGTGCAGAACTTGAACTGGAAGGGCGCCCCCTCTTTAACCGCTGCCAGATTTCTAAATCCTTTCCCAGCCACATTATTTAAATATCCATAAGAACTTAATTATAGGAATATTGAAGGCAGAGCGAGCTTCTAGCTCTGTGCAAACGATTCCCCATTGCATCCGTGGGAGTTGAGTAAATGAAACATGGGGTGTGGTGTAGTGCATGAATTTCGTTATAAGTGACTTCATTAGAATAAGATTTATTTTACTGATGTTGAATGTTAAAGAAAGAGCGTCGGTCTATAATCATATAAAAATGTTTGCACGAGTCTCAAGAGCCAGTGGAATCTATTGAATGCTGCTTGCATTACGGGTGTGTGTTTTAACGGTTACGCGTCTGTTTCCCGATCATGGCTGTGTGCGTGCAGTTGAACACAGTCGAGTTAAATTAGCCATCCAACTCCCTGCTGCAAACTCTGATTACATCAATGCGAACTTCATAAAGGTAAGAAAGAGAATTCTGATGTTAACGTACAATTATACCGTGTCCTTGAAATACCAGGTTCATTCAGCGTTGGGGTGCCCAAGTGTATCTGTGTTCGTAACAAAACCCCGTTATTTACATGAAGGCCAATTTTAGCCCATTGACAGCGATTAATGTTCTTTACAAGAACCACTATCCAGGCTTAAAATCCCTGCTTAGCTCCAGCGATCTGATGAGATCGAGCGCTTTCTGAGTGATTTGGCCAGAGGCAGTCGACCATAAATCGTGCCTACATTAGACCTTGTTTTCTGACTCCCACGCAGCCCCTAACCCCCCCCCCCCCCCCCCCCCCAGCGTAGCAGCAGCAGAGGGAAAGGGGAGTGCAACGGGCAGCGGAAACAGATATTGTTTGTGTCTGACCCCCAAGTAGCCGCTTTGCTCAATGAGACTGGGGATGCAGATCTGGACCCTGGTGCCATTCCTGGATCGTTCCTGGCCTGGCCAGTTCCCAGTGGTCGTGGCAAAAGAGTTTCATCCAAAATGTCAAATGTTTGTAAACGTTCTGGGAATAAATTACAGACAGTTCAGCATTAGTTTGTACAATTTTTGCATGCTCAGTGCTTGAATATAAAGGTGGACTGTGTTGTATCTCAATAGGTCTCAAGAAACGAGTCTCTTCTTAGAGCTTATGGCAGAAGAATAAATTTGAGTTTTCTACTTGCAATCCTTTTTTTGTAAGGGTGGAAAACTATTTTTACTTCCAGCATTGGATTGAATTTGTTACTTTTTGGACAAGCTGAAATGCCTTACCATTGGCATGAATCGTTCAACACCGCGCTAAGAAATCAGGTCCCATATGTGTAGAGTTAAAGCCTCAATGCTGAGCTTTTTTTGCCCTGCACCCTGCTCACAAATGTTTTTTTCCCCCGTAGACTTAAAACATTTTCATAGTGAATTGTTTGGGTGAAATATATTCTGGTGGCATATTTTATATAATACTATACTTTATTTATTTATAGTGCCACATCATAACCGCTTGTGTATTGCTTTCTGGAGCTTTGTTTAGTTGTAAAAACATTGCAAAGCACAGGATGTTTAACCATGCTAAGTGCCCTGTGAAACATGAAGCCACCTCACTGGAAATGGTAAAAAAAAATGTGTGCTTGGAAGTGCATGTTTTCCTTTGTGCTGTGTATTTGTGCGTTCCTGTACACATATACATTACTTGGTGTAATAAATGCATATTGCGAGTGGGTGCTTTGATATATGATGCACAAATGCACGTGGATTCCGATAGGTGCATGGTGTGTTACGGTCTTTTTTTACTGTAAAGCCACTTACTGGGGTCAGTGGAGCCTGAAAAATAAAGCTTACATAAATACCTTTGTTACATGTAATAACGAGGTCAAATTTAATTAATTCCGGTATAATTCTAATAGTGTAATGGCTCACTCGTGAAATGGGCTTTTTCCAGTTTGCTTCATTTAATCAATGGTTAATGGACACCTGCGTAAGAGTTTACCACGCTGCTGCTTTAACAAATTACATCGCTGTCATGGTCTGTGTGCTGTTTGTGCAAACGACCACTCTACTTTGTTTACCAAAGTGTGATTGTGAAGCTTACATTGACCCTTGAAGGGTAGTGCTTTACCAGGGGTAGGAAATAGTATAGCATCTGTCAGTTTTTATTTCTTTGTCATGATTTATTGATTTTAAATAAATTCTTACATTCCGGATGCATCCATCGATTGTGCAACTAAGAATCGATAATTTACTATTAGTACAAATTGCTTGGCGAATGTCCTTTTAGGATCATGGAAATCATAAGGCATAACAAACAAGACAAACCTATGAGACAAATAATAAGACTAAAAAGAGTTAATTATTGCATCAATTCGTAATAGCACGTACGAACCAAAACAACATATGAGACAGAAGACAGAGAATACAAATGCAACTTAAAACCAAATCAAAACAATAATTAATTCTTGAATTGAATCGTGACCCTGAAACCTTGCAATTCGTTTAATGACTTAATCCCAAGGGAAATCATTCTACAGTATGCCTCGTAATTATTAAAAATGCAAACAAATTATGATGATTTTATAACTGTATTGGGTGTCGGTGGTTGGGAGGTGAGTGCTGAGCTCTGCTTACACCAATCCAACAAACCAACCTCGCCCAAATTAAATTGTTCATCCTGTTCACGTGCCTCGTTATAGCAGGAACGTGGCACTCTTCCAACACCGAGCGGAACGGGCTGATTTCAGTCGGTACGCCAAGGTTTTGTGAGAGGGGGCTGCACAGCGCAGTCCTGTTACCAGAGTCACGCGTGCCAGCACAGCCAGTCTTAACAAACACGCGCACACTTCCGCCACTTTCGTACGGCGTGACACGTGCCAAAATACCAAGCCTTCCGAAACAAGCTTGTAGCGGCAGGCTCGCGCGCTCAAGCGGTGATTTCATAAGAAAAAAAGAGAATTAACTGTATAACATGCTGTTATTTGGATTCATACGGCGTCTCAAATCGACAAATGATCAAGATGCTGTAAATAAACAGTGGGCTTATTTATTGTGAGGAAGCAGTCGGTCATAGGCCTCGGTAAAAAAAGGGGGGGGGGGGGGTTCTTGAACTTAATATGAACAGGGCAGCGAAGACCACAGCACAGGTGACTGGGGGAAATAAGTTCCAGAATATGGGGGCAGCAGAGGAGAATAGCCGAGAACTGTTTCATTGCTCGCGGCAAAACATTTGATCAAACAAGCAAAACATTTGACTAAAACCCATATTAATGTTGAGAATTTCAATCAACCAATCACTTTTGCTTATGACTGAATTAGCATCTACTTATATAAGTCTGTGCGCAGATTGGTAAGCCAGGAAATGTCTTCAGCTGATTTGCGGTGGATTGCTTCAATGTCTCCGTTGAACTTTCGGAGTTCACAGTGGTTCATTGCCTATGTGGTCAACGGTCAGGTCATTGTTTCGCGTGCCGGGCTTTCTTGGCATGGCAAGACGGCAACAAAAACACGCACGTGCGATACGTCACTGAAACACTGTTTGCATGGAGTTGGCTGACGATGTGTGTGCGTGTGCGTGCATGTGAGCAGGGCGTGAGCAATCCGCGGGCGTACATCGCCACTCAGGGCCCCCTGCCACACACACTCGTCGACTTCTGGAGCATGCTCTGGGAGCACAACGTCAAGGTACCTCCACATGCGGCCATTGGCTGGCCTCGCTTACATTTGTATGTACGTCGAACTTCTTTTGCACCGTACGTAGCCAACCATGCTTATTGGAGACGCGGGATAAGGACAACACATTAAAGACAAAGTTCTAAAGGAATGAGTTTTCAATTTACATTTGAAAGTGACATCCTAATATCGAAAAGAAGAGCGTTCCAAAGGGCCGCAGAAGCGCATCTGAGAGCACGATGCAGTGACCACTTTGTTCAATGGATAGCCAAAACTTTTATGGTTACGATGACCCCTACACGGTAGAACTCTTCTCATCCCTGGTGAAGCGGGGGAGGCGCTGTTGGCAAGGGCTATTTTTCTCCATCAATGCAGCCATCCAATTCCCGCAGGGTCATGAACGTGTGTGGAAAAGGGTTCGGTGGCCCACCCCTGCCAGCTGATTTTTACCCCACCCTGTACCCACAATCTCTCCCACACTTTTCATTGCTGGGTGCTGTGGGTTGAAGCCACTTTTGTAAAAATGTTATTCAAAGTCTTACTTTGTTTATCCATGGAAATTGCTCCTGTTATCCGTGCGTCTGTCTGAGTAAATATGGACAAAAGGATGAATTTACTAAATCTTGGGAGACGGCTGGTGACTCCTTATTCGCAAGTGCATTTTAACATGTCCAGCCTTTTGTAAATCCACTATAAATAAACATCAACAAACACTCAATTGAGCATGATGATGTGTTTTTACTGCAAATAAAAGCATACTATTTCAATATTTCATGTTTATCTGCCAGTTTACATTTACAGTACATGAATGGAAGGAAAATATCATATCAGATGTCACATGACTTAACGCAGAACACAACTCACGCTGTCTTTTGGCATGGCATGAATTCCACATCCTGTCACTTAATTCTTGTTTGAAATTGAGCAGAAGCTTTCCTTAGCTGGTAACAACATATTTAAATATTTTCTTTCTGATGAAACTGATTTTTTTTTATTCAATGATTTCAGGTGATCGTCATGGCTTGTCAAGAGGTGGAGATGGGAAGGGTATGCTTTTATTTATTTTTTTACTAAATGCACTCGTCACTTAGGGATGATATCAGGCAAAGGGCAAGTATTGATGCATTGTGCCAATGCATCGGGAACTCAATGTGACACTAATTCATTATTTTACGCGTCGTTCAGATGTGCACATTCTAGCTTAAAAAAAAAAATCCACATATATCTGAGTGGCTCTGAGGTCAAGAGCCGGCACCGCTAAGGTCATACATTTTATTAAAAGCAGTTCCCTTTGATTAAACTGGGTTGTTAGGTTGATGGTCTTTGCCCAATAAACAACGACTGAACAAAACAAATAATAATTTTTACTTTGAATCAGCAATTCATTTAGCAAAATTCCAGTTCTCAGAATTCAAATATCAGTTTGGCTATGATGTGACCAACGTTACTGTCACGTGGCAGAGCGGATGGGCAAGTGCTGTCCTCTATTGGGTGGACCAGAGGTCACTTGAAAGGGTCTCAGAGGTAGTTTGTTTAATATCTACTTCCGTGAGCTGTTCTCTAACATGGGAGGTTGCACTGGACTGCGAGAGATATGATTGTATACGTCATCGTGCACTATGACACCGACAGCAAAATCGGAATTAAATTGAGGAAAAAATACGTAAGTAAATATATTTTTGGGTTTTAATTGTTCATTTTACTTTTCCCCAGTTATATTCCAGTCGTGCTCTCAGTATCATGTTATGAAATGGAGATTTTTTTTTTAATAACGCTCCGCTTAAAGTGTACTAACCACCCTGTGTTAGAGAATGGCCCCAAAAATTGACGTCACAGAACCACATTTAAGGTCACATCATTAGGTTTCTTTTTCCATCGTACGGGCACACCGTTTATCTGGCCTGAAAAGAGTGTTCATCACAAGTTAATCGAGCTGCATTTAAAAACCTGTATTGTGGATGCATTTTTCATTTTCTCATAGCTTGAAAAGTCATACTGAGTAAAACATTTTGAATAATAATAATGTGCTGTGTTGTTGGCACAGTTATTGGTGACCGAAGCAGAGGCCATCAATTACGCTGCACTTTAAAAACCTTGTTTAAGTGTGGGCGGTTGCCCAGATTTGAAACCCAGGAATTCAACAACACATCGGAGCTCAATGCTCTGATGGTAGCCCTCTGAGCCACCTGGCCACCTCGCTGTGTGTGTATGCCTTCTCAACACGTGGCCTGCAGACTGCTAACACAGTCCACCGACACGCACACGCTTTTATTTTGTTTATTTCAACTGACATTTTTTTATTGTCATTCAACCTGAATGAATGTTAGAATCTTGAGTCTTGCTATGCACCGACACTAATTGTTGTAAACATACGCTCTTTACTTGTTTATATTTATGGCGCCATTCCTCCCCCACCACAGCAAGCCAACCATAAAATTTGAGTTCTGTACAAGATGTGGTGTGGTGGCTTCCACACTTGCACTACATTCTGATGAGCTGAGGTTGATTTCTGCCCATGGCTAACATCAGTGGCGAGTGGTAAATGAACCAGTCATGGTCCCCCCCCCACCACCACCACCTGTTTCTTTATTTGCTGGAAGCTGTCTCGGCTAGCTTAAAGGCCTTGTAACCCAGACTCATAATTTTTGACGTTGTGTGCATTGAGGTGGTTTAGTGACATGGCCACATGAAGGGCCCTGTATTGGTCAACACAAGCGGATGGGCGCGGCTGTCAGTTTTCTATGCACATATTTTAAGACCGTTGTTAATCGCGGAAGCGATGCGTGTGCATTTTTTATTGCAGAAAAAGTGCGAGCGGTACTATGCCTTAACGCAGGAAGAGCCACTCACCCTGGGACCATTCACAATATCCTTGGTGAGTCCTTCTTCTTTAGTTCCCTTCAATCATCTGTTCGAGACGATGGGGCGAATGAGATCTTTCCCACCTGTTCTTTTCTTGTACCAACTTCATGGCTTCCTTTCCTCTTGTGGCCCTTTTTGGTTCGAGGTAAATTTTCACTGTCAAGCCAGCGCATCTTTAATCTTCCTTTATCTTGTTCCATGTACTTTTTTGTGTAATGCCATGTTTGGTATTTTTTCTGGATCGATTCTAAAAAGTTCTGCAGGGAAAACATGAGCCATCGCAAGTCTGCCCTGATCACATGAATCATATTCTTGGATCAATATCCTTGAAAATAAAGTTGCTTAGTTCTCCGCTCGGAAATATTTGCAATGATATTCATTGGTTTAGACTCGGCCAGCCCTAGAACATAGTCCGCTGCCATCTAACATCATAATAATAAACAAGAATGACCTTTACTTATCCAGTGAAGTTCCACTGGTTCTGAGGATTATTTTCATCATTAAATGTTTTGTTTGTCCATTCGCCATTTGCATACGGATGGAATTTGGGTGATCTTAAGGAAAACCTGTGCATACGAGGAGATAACACTCAAATCTCCGCACAGAAACATTCAAGAAACTCATTGCTTTACTGTTGTCTCTTGACCACTTTTTAGCCCAAGTCTACACAATCAGATATTCACCGGAAATCTCCCATACGAGTATTGGGTTCATCCCAACAATTAGCGATACCTTTGGGGTCATGGAATGTGATGCAGAGGGCGATTTGGAGTGCGCACCCCTGCCACCTTCGCCTGCCCACTACCCATACGCCTCACTGTCTTAGCCACCAGCTATAGTTAAATTAATAACATACTCTACACACTCAGAGCCTCCAGACAAACAAGAAATTGTATGAAACATATTTTTTGCTGTCTCTTCTCTCTTCGTGCAACTTTTCTTTCTACTCCAGTGTTTTTCGATTGTATACTCGGTGATTTATTCATACGGAACCCCGTGGTTGAAGAAGCAGGATTAGAGTATTTGGCTGCTATAAATATTCCACGCGATAAGCCACTTTGTTGAGCTATAATTTGTGGCCTGGTCGCTTCTGAAAAAGAAGTTAATAGCGTAGTGGGCTTTACATGGTAAGGTAAAAAAATATTAGGTTAGTTTTATATGTATATATATTTTAAGTGATTTGTTTACCTTTCCAAAACTTTGCACTCCTATCATGTTTTTGTATTGTTCTGACCCAACCCTAACTGGACGTCTGTGAAAAAAAGCTTCATAGCTGATCGGATTCGTCCAGTATAAATAAATATTCAGATTTTGATTCTCTGCCAGGGAACGCGTGGTGACAACGCTTGCCGGAGCGGCGCGATTGATGTGCACGCTGCTAATAACCTTGCTGCTCTAGTTGCAGGTGGAGAAGCAGCACAGGGGCGAAGACTACTGCATACGGACACTGAGTGTTCACTATGGAAATGTACGTACACGCACGGTAACACTAGTGCCCACAAGCTCGCAACATGCAAGGGATAGCCTAAATGTCGTGCCTTTTCAAACATTAACAGTATTAATTCGTCAATCAAGGGTGACTGGGAAATAAAGGAGGCATTACTGTTGGGTTATCTCAGGAATCGCAATCAAAAGAGAAAATGCATTCTGGAGGATGCCAGGTGTGGAGATGGAGCAGTGAGATCGGTTTATGTGCAGGAGTGAGATGGATTGCGGCAGCCCTCGACCGAATGGGATTGCGACGCTGTGGGGAGGTCTTGATCCAGCAGTCGCTAGATAATTGCTGTTGATGATGATAATGACGACCATGAACAGTATGGCGCGTGTAGGAGATGGGCCAGAGGTCGCAATCGGGTACCCGATACCCGTACCCTAACCGATACCCGGGTACCCATACCCGGCCGGGTACGAGTACCCGTTTGCGACCCTGGTGCGTCCGGGTACGGGTAGGCCGTGAGTCACTGGTGAGTAACCGTTTGTCACTCATTTCGGGTAGGGTACGGGTACGGGTACCCATTTGCGACCCTGGTGCGGCCGGGTATGGGTACGGGTAAGGAATCAAAACCCGTTTGCGACCTCTGAGATGGACACGGCCGGGTAGGTGTTGATCACGGCACGGTGGCGCGTTGCGCGTGCTTGCCCACAGGAAACCCGCACCGTCTTCCAGTTCCACTACTCCAACTGGCCAGACCACGACGTGCCCTCCTCCTTCGACCCCATCCTCGAGATGATCGCCATCATGCGCGAGTACCAGGACGATGAGGACAGCCCCATCTGCGTGCACTGCAGGTACCACTAGCACTGCCTGTATGTACGTATGTTGAACTTGACGTATGAAAAATAAGAATAGGTATTACATTTTCCTGCAATAAAACAGGTGTTAAAATGTTTACACACCAAATGGATACCTTCAGCACATGTCCAGGTGCTCGGTGTGGATCTTTACATAGCAGGATTATGAGAAATGGCAGTGGATTGGGGGTTGTTATCATCTAACAGTAGATTGGCTGATGATGATTACCTAAAATGCATTACAACTATCATCTGGCATTTGATAGGGCAACCTGATTGTCAAATATTATTTACTCCAAGACCAAGTCCTGGCTTATTATGAGTCCTTCCTACTTACCGAGACATGAATTATATAACTCTGCACGAATTAATAAATACGATAGAAAGGTTGTTGTGACCATACTTAAAGATGGTCAACACGTGTTGATTAAGGTTTCAGTTTAAGTTAAATTAAAACTATACACGCGCAGCAAACCTTTGGAGTAATGTGAGCTGGGCAGCTATTGCCTCGTAGCCACCACAGACGACTAAAAACTCGGTGACGGCATTTGAATGAATGAACAAACAGAGTCGCAGGCGAATTCATTCATTGTTATCCGGTGTCGTATGAAATACAATGGCGGGGGCGACGTTATGCGACGTGATCTCACACACACACACACAGGTGCCCGACATGTATTTCCTGCCAGATAGGGTGGTGGTGGCCAGGTGGTGGTACACACAGGAAGGGGGGGACGTGGCCGTTGATTGTAGGCCTCGGTTGCAGCGGCCGCCCCTGCGCGTGCACACACTTGGCTCCTCCGTACGCCGCGACGAAACGGAAACGCGTGCACCGAGCTCATATCTGCATGAGCCGCCTGCGGGGAACTCTCGCTGATGCAGGAAGTTTTGAGGGTTTTTTTTCTTTATCTTGACTGCATTTGACGTAACTTAAGAAATGAGTTACAACTATTGAAATTGAGTACATTTGGTGTTTGTGCCATTCTTGTAGCTCAGGGGCTAATGCGAAGGTGCTGTATTTCACAGGCGGTTACAGTCTGCCAGTAGGGAGCGATGTGGGTATGTGTAGTCCCAGTTGAGCAATTTGCCCGGTGATTTTTCAAGTTTGACAAATTTGGACCACGACACCAGCAGACAATGCTCTACTTATTTCGAATGACGTCAAGGGATCTCTAACGTCCACTGAAGCAGACAGCGGGTATCTTTTATGCTAACTACACACAGCACAGTAATAACCAGGGTGGCCTGCTGCATTCGAACCGTGAACCTCTATAACAAGTGGCAGACGGGCATCCGCTGGCCCATCTCACTGTCCCAAGCGTTATCATGACCCCCCCCCCCCCATCCTGGTTACAGGCGGATGTATGGAAAACATTAAAAACCTTTATTGGCTCATGTCATTTGAGCAAGTCTCTAACATTAATACAACATTATACTAAGTTTGGAACATCTTTAGGAGATATATATTGCCACGCCCAACCACTATACAGACGGAAACACGTAACATTATTCGTTATTCGATATCTGAGCTGTCTATGGGGATAAACTATGCACGAGATTATATTATTTGGTGACTGTAATGACAAAAACACATGCATGGCCACTCACTGATTCTGAATTGTTTTTAAGGTGGGCTTCTAGTACACGTAAAGGACTGCTCTAATGAAAGTCAATCGCTTCCACAGAATTTGGAGAATGTGAGCTAAGAATGGCAGGGGTTATTTTTGGGCATTAATGTCTTCATAATGTTTTACTCCATAAAAACAGCGGTAAGACTAAAATCAATTGGAGAGTATGCAGCCTTGTATATACCACCCCTTGTAGAGTGAATAGTCATACATCTTTTATTTTAATGTGAACCCCATGCACAGGATCTTTTATAGCATTAAAACAGTGAAACTTGTGTGTTTTCGCGACAGCTGGCAACTAACCATTTATGTCTCCATCGCCACATTTAAAGGTTAAGCGTTGACAATCAAGGCGTCAGTAGTGTTCGAGTTCTTAACATTTCAAGTTCAATATGTTGCCTTTTACGCCGAGATATTATTTGTATGAATATTTATGCTGAAAGAGCCCCCCTGCTGTGGTTTAAAGTGGCTCCCGAGTTCAAGATTGACTGCTGAAATAATAAAATCATGGACCCGTGGAGAAGAAATTAAAGGAAAGATTGGAAAGGGTCTCATCGCAAATCGGTCTCTGCCAGATTAGCTGATAGTGTGCCAAATTGAAGAAAAAAGAGCTAAATATTGCAGCATAACAGCACGTGAATATTTTCTAAAAACGTTTACAATTTAATGAGTTCATAACGTTTTAAAACATGAAATGTCAGGTGGATAAATTGTTGCACCGTTGATTAATGAGTATTACGTAGTGACGTTTATGCATGATTGGTTTAGCTCAGTAAAAAAGGATTTCTCACAAAGTGAAGGGATACACAAGGCAGAAATACACCCAACAGATGCCAAATAAAACAACAAAAATATGCCAGTGCCAGAGAAGTAGAAAAAAATGAATTGGGAAAAAATGTCCTGTTGGAGAGAACATACATTCATCATTTTCGACATTAGTTGAAGACTAACCACAATTCCTGATAATTGCTTTAATGATCATAGAAAGGAGTTTCCTTTTGGCCAAGAGTACTCTTAACTCACTCTTGGCTAGAACCAAACCAATGGGCAAAATCATTTCAGTTGGCGTTACTCAAACAAGTCTGCGGGGCGTTTAAAAGAAGGATGGGTTTTAGAAAAAAATCTGATATTGCACGGCTGGGCATTCTTTCTCAATATCGTCATGTGCCGATGTTACCGTGCTTGCTCGTGCACCTTTCGTGATCTTTTTTTTTATCGTTGTGGTATTTGTGCGGATCCTTCGCTCTCCGAAGCCGCTTGCAACGCCGCGATCAGACCACCTCTCTCCTGCACCGCCTGCGTTTTGCCACTGAACGTCTAGACCCGTACGTTTCTTTCGCCCACATTGATTCCCTCGTAACTACAAACATCCTTCTATCTTGACAGGAGGCAGAGATTTTGGCCTGATAGTATGATTGGCCAGAAAATGAGACGCGCTTCTGAGTCATGGGTTGTGAAACGCGTTGTTGAGACCATGCCAGCGCTGTGACTTTCACAAAGCAGAACCCTGGCTCTCCTACTGCAGAGTGCAGTCCATTGCCGTGCTGCATAGTTAAGATCACCTATCTTAATTCCATGAATATGTTGTGTTTTTTTCAAGACTCGCTTTGATGGCACCCGTCATTCCCCTCCGCCTTTATACATGTGTAATGCCCTCAAACTCTCGAACCTTTGCACTACATCCTCAATATTAATGCAACCAGCCTGCCTTTTTTTGTTTCCGCTTACTGTAAAATGTGCATCCCCTGTTTTATTTATCTGTGGCTCCAGAAATAAAAATGGCGAGGATTTAAAGGAAATGTACTAGCTTGGGGTGACTTAGAAATGGGCTCTGGTTGCAAAGCTTTCTTCCTCGGACAGGGCTCGTAAATGTTTATACTACACAGGCTAGCTACTTCAGAAACCTGGAGGTAAACACCAGGCAGTCAACAGGTGGACAGCGGTCGAAGTTAATTATTAATTAGTGTTCACTGCCTCAAGGAATTACGGACTTCACTGCATTGTCTGCATGGGTCGCTCGCTGATCACTGCGTGCCGGGGCTCAATGAGTTGTTACATCGTGGCAAGTCAACATTTTCTGAAAAGATTAAACCGCGCCTCTGGGAGTTGTGTGAAACTTACCAAGCAGTCGGATTGAATTAGGCGATTAACTGTAATAATATTGAGGAGGGTGGACAGAGTGGTAAAGTGGTTATTAGCATGCTGCGTTACGAACCTGGCGATTTGAGTTCGATTCCCAGCCAGGCCTAAAACCAGTGGCGAATGAATAAAAAATTGCTGGAATTTAATTTATATTTATAATACAATACATTGTGGTACTTTGTCAATATACTGCTGGATGAAGGCCTGCCCATGCTTTATTGAACACGGGGGGAGTGGGTTGTTTGACCATGCTTCACCACGCTGGTCTGTGCGAGTTGGTGAAGGAGTGCCGGGGACCGTTTCTTACATTATTTGATGCTGATGTTAATCTAATTGTTAAGCAACCCTTCGTCATGAATCCAGCAACCCAGGTTCGATTAATGAGTAACAGGTGATGTCAGAGTTGATCCTGTCTGCGCACACCCTCCGCTTTTAACAAACCCCACTTACCACACGGAGGTAAATTACGGTCAACAAAACCCACACAATCGACAATTACGTGGGGACACGTCCGTTCATTGGTGAATTTAAATTGGTTGAATTTGTATTCTATAAATATATAAACATAACATATAACGGTCCTTGATCAATCCCCTGCTATGTGAAGGTCTCTCTACACCATGTTGGACTTGGCGGTTGTTTGGCCATACTTCACCACACTGGTCACAGCGAAGTGGTGAAAGGGGGGGATGCCCAGGATCGGTTCAGCTATCACTCGCCACTGATGTCAGTAGCCTTGTGAAGGAATCGAACTCGGGGTAGCCATGCTCAAAGCTTAGTGGGTGAACCATTGCGCACTGCGCTCCCCTGCCAGTATTAACTGCAGTGGGTTATTTCATTGCAGTTATTCTGCTTGAGCGTGTATGTGTGTGTTTATAAACAGCCTGCCTGGCATGATGTTATCACCGCCCGTGAACTGCAATCGTACATACTGTAGCGCACACTGTTAATGCCAGATGGACTGATAATTATGGATTCACGATCTCGCACATGTTCACACGCCCACCACTGGAAATATTTTAGCGGCGTTTGTAAGCCGCCACCATTGGCTGCAGTAAATTTCTCACTGCGGCAGCGTGGCACGGTTCAGCGTTTCCACGTGGCTCCTTATACCTTGTGATGGATTTGCAGATGCCCCGCTTGTGTAATGACTTTATTTTGTGATGACCTCAGTTTACACGTCATTGAATGCTGTAAGCAAATCACACTGCCTATGTTGAACAAAGTTTATCGGGAAAATGTTAATAGATTTAATGGGCGTATTAAGATTGGTGGGAAACGTGTAGGGGTTTTGAATTGAAATGTTTTCTGTATTTCTCTCGCAATGTTCCAATGGAGTATCTATTAATCAGATCACTGTGTATGAAATAAAAACACATTGATTTCTCACAATGCTCTTGTAGTAGTTACGGTACACGTATATGTCCAGCCCGTTTGTCTATTGCTGGATTATGGCTTTTCCCCATCCTGGCGAGTCGTTTTAGTTGTGTGACCGTGTTGCACCACGTTCGTCAACGCGGGGCTGTGAAGTTGGGGCGCATCAACGTTGGAGCAGAGACTGCAGCAGGAGATTCTGCTGCACTGCCCTCCGCTGCCCTTAACGTAGTTCCGCAGCATCCTATAACAACTTGGCTGGCATGTCGATTACTCATCCGAGCACAACTCTGCTCATCGTCTAAGATCTGAAGGGATTGGGTGCAATCTGGGTAGGGATTCAAATGAGTGGTCATACAAATCATTACATGCTGTTTAATATCATGTGCTATTACATAACATGTACTGTTTACGTACAAACAAACGTGTCCTTTTGGAGTAAGTACAATAATGGGCGGAATATATGTATACCCTATGCAAATATGCTTGGACAACAAAATGCTACATCTTCTGTTCATCCCTGTAGCCTCCTCGAAAAAAGTAGATTGAATGCATTGTGTGCAACACTAGGATTGTTTCATCTTGCTCTCTGTAGCTCGTGCGTTTCACTGCGGTTCATCTCGCTGTCTGTGGCTCGTGCATTTGACTCTGGTTCACCTTGCTAACTGTGGAGCGTGCGTTTGACTGCGGTTCACCTTGCTGTCTGGCTCGTGTGTTTGACTCTGGTTCACCTTGCTAACTGCAGCTCGTACGTTTGACTGTGTTTCACCTTGATGTCTGGCTCATGTGTTTGACTCTGGTTCACCTTGCTAACTGCGGCTCGTGCGTTTGACTTTGTTTCACCTTGCTGTCTGTGGCTCATGTGTTTGACTCTGGTTCACCTTGCTAACTGTGGAGCGTGCGTTTGACTGTGTTTCACCTTGATGTCTGTGGCTCATGTGTTTGACTCTGGTTCACCTTGCTAACTGTGGCTCGTGCGTTTGACTGCGGTTCACCTTGCTGTCTGGCTCGTGTGTTTGACTCTGGTTCACCTTGCTAACTGCGGCTCGTGCGTTTGACTGTGGCACGTGCTGTGACTGTAGCGCAGGCTGCGGAAGGACCGGGGCCATTTGCGCAATCGACTACACTCGGAATCTACTCAAGCTCGGGGTGAGCCATCTTGATATTCTATACCACGTTCAGGAACAGGATGTACCCAAAATAAAGTTTAACAAAACATACATGAAAGCGCACCATTTTTTTGTTTGTTTGTCGAGATCATTCGTGTAATCGAATCCCGTAGGATCAATGGTAGTGTGCACTTGAAATCTCGATACCGAAGGATATCGTAGCTTTGAAAGGAGACCTGGCCATTGGTATATTTAGACCAAGCGCAGTAGACCTTGAGTCAAGATAAGCTGCCGTACACCAGCTGAGTTATGCACCCTTCGTGCTGACCACCCACACTGAAGCATATCTACACTGTACGTGTGCAAAGTATGCTCAAGGCTTTGATTTTTTTTTTACAAACTACGTGTCATTTTTCATTAATTACGGCATACCCTCCTCCTTTTGGTACGTGCAGTTGTAGCTTGCACTACAGTCGCTTTCCCACACGGCTTTCTGATTTTCAGAGACAACGCAGATGTTTTCTTTTTTCGGAGATTCCATGCATGTTCACACCAACTTACATTCGTCAACGTCCACGGCGCTACTTGCATTTCCAGAGGCCTTTTTGGCGCTGGCCACGTTGAAATTAACTGGACGTTTGTCTTTTTCGAATTTTTACAATGAACGTGTGGGCAGCCCATCCCACAATATTCGCGTTGTCCAGACAACGTGGACGACTCGCGCCTGTCCGCCTTGGGCTATGTTTTCACAATAACTCTAGAGCCTGACGCGTTGCTCGCAGCGCGGAATGTTTTGGCCCTTTTTCACACCCCAGGAAGTCTGCGATTTCAATTGGTGTGTTGCTCTCTCTCTCCTTACGTCTGCCAACCCCCCCCCCCCACCCCCTTTGCGATTGTGATGCAGTGTGATGCATCACGATTTCAAGAGTCTTGTTGCTTACAAACCGTCACGAGCCTCCCAGTCATGAGTTTTTTTATCATCTCTGGAAGCTTTGACAATTAAATCAATATAACGGTTCACATTTCAGCAGGTACAGGTAGAAAGTTGACCCCCGAGGACGATTGCCAGTTAAGCGGATTCTGTCCCATGAACAGCTAGACCTTGTGTTAAGAGCACCAAACCCCACACGGCCTCTTCAATGAGCGATTGCATCCTGCTGGTAGTAGCAGTTTTACATTTTCGCATGAGGCTTGCCGTGACCCAATGCCACTAATAAGCCACAGTTCAGCGAGACAGTCAGGACAGGTGCTTTTGAAGAAGATAGAGGGGACGTGTAATAGCCATTGTCCAATCTAAACTCGTGAAAAGTCGAGGCCTTTTATTAATTGAGATGTTCTAACCACAGCAAGGCCAACTGCATTCGTCATATCGAAATTGGTCAACATCACAATTGGCTTATATGTGCTCAGAACCTCAACAACAATACCACGCCTACCTATGGCATTTTGTATTTGGAAGAGTTCTGTAAACATTGCTTCGGGTGTAATGTTTATATGTAGTGGTAGAAACGATGCATCAATTCTGCGGGTACTGTTGATTCTTAAACGCATGATTCATGCATTGAATGGCATAAGTAACAATGTTTTTTTTATTTGTGTGTATGTATGTTGTACGTTTGGGTGGCGTGATGACACGTTGGTTCATGCACTGCTATGAACCCCGTGACCCAGCCACGGATAACATCAGTGACAAGTGATATATATTTTTTTACCATACTTTCACCGCGCTGGCCCAACAGGAGCGGTTCTGATATGACTTACCGCTGATCTTAGCCATGGCCGGGAATCGAAGTCTGGTTTCTGGGTTTGTAGCGCAGCTCGGTCACCGCTGTGCGCCCACTCCACCACAAACCCCGAGACGTTACACAGAGCGTATTCACAGAGGCACTTGCTTAGCATAATTTCTCAGTTAAACTTCCCGTTTGATTGTGTAATAAAAATAAGCTATAACCTTTCAGGCAATGTCTCCGCATCACGCTTTCGTTTGTTTAATTTCGAATGTGGTGGCGGGCGCGGGGGGGGGGGTGTTTGTTTTTTCTGCTTGCTGCAGAAAATCCCAGAGAACTTCAGCGTCTTCAACTTGATTCAAGACATGAGGACCCAGCGGCCATCCGCTGTGCAAACCAAGGTAATTTCCCAGCATCAACGCGGCGGGGCCTGCCTCGTGCCGCGTCTGCTCATCGTCAGGCGCGTTCAAATGCGTTCTGTCTATGCGCCAACGGGGGAAAGTTCCTATTACATTCTTCAGTGTACATTGAGGGCCTCCGCTTGGCTTGGGTCACATTTATTATTTCTACGTAGCCATGTATGGGCTTTTAATTTAGAAATTCACCAGAATTGTCGTGGCCTCCGATGTTTTTTTTTTTTGCTTAGTTTGTAATGTTGGCATGGTTATTCATCGCCGGTGCAATCGCAGCGTTCGAAGTTCCCTAACTCGCATTGCAAGAAGCGTGCGACGGCGTCGGTGAAACGTACGTGGGGCTGCATCAAAGTTCATTTCGCATCGAGGTCAGGGTTGTAGCCGTTCATTCATCTGACAATACTGCGTGTAAAGTGGCCGCTTCGGTGATCTCATACGTAAAATAACCAGTCAATAAAAAGATTAAATAGCCGATGACCAAAGCACTCGCAGTGTGTACAGTCTCGTATGATCTTGGAACCTAAGCAGGTTTCAGCCTCGGTAGTGTTTATATGGGCGACCACCATACATGAAAGCGCAGGGTGTTATGGGATGCGGGGGGCCACGTTGTTAGCAACGGAGGGCAATGCAGCAAAAATCTATTTACTTTTCGATTTAAAGCTTTCGTGACTGCAGGGATTCATCTTCTTGGTTCTTTCGGTAAAGTCACGTAGAAGGGAAGTAATAAAATAATACAAATAAAATAAAAAAACCATTTATTATGAAGGGAAGTAATAAAATAATACAAATAAAATAAAATTCATTTATTATGTTTTATTTTTATTTCGATTTAAAGCTTTCGTGACTGCAGGGATTCATCTTCTTGGTTCTTTCGGTAAAGTCACGTAGAAGGGAAGTAATAAAATAATAAAAATAAAACATAATAAAACAATTCTCACGACGTTTCGGCCACAACGCAAGCAGCCGTCTGCTTGCGTTGTGGCCGAAACGTCGTGAGAATTGTTTTATTATGTTTTATTTTTATTAATCTATTTACTGTACTGTACTTATTCTTGGTTCTTTCGGTAAAGTCACGTAGAAGGGAAATAATAAAATAATAAAAATATAAAATTCTCACGACTTTTCCACCACTCTTTTCAAATGTTATTGCTGTGGTTTTCACACCTGATGATGATTGCTTGTGTGGCAATCGAAACGTCGTGAGATTTTTATTGTTTTATTTCTATTATTTTAATATTTCCCTTCTACGTGACTTTATCGAAATAACCAAGAATATGAATCCCTGCAGTCACGAAAGCTTTAAATCGAAATTGTACTGTACTTATCCACTTCAGCGTTCATATTCCCTGCCTTCACCAAACCGCACTGACAAATTTGATGAAGTATGGTCAAATAACATCCACTTATTGCACATTGTGGCTGTACATGAAAATACAAAATAATAACAGGCTTGCAATAAATCACTGAGAGGGAAAGCGAGCTCTCGGTGGTTTGGGTAACTGACCATATTTAGGAAATGTCTGTGGACTTGTATTGTACGGATTGATGTCGGCCTTGCTCTTATTGCCCAGTGGGCTTTAACCGTTTAAGGAAGGTGCCTTGCATCTCAACATGCAGCCTCATAATCAAAGCCCTCTGTAGTTATCAATGACATGTACGCTTACAGTACATAGTTCCCCCCCCCACCCCGCCTCTCTTCAAGCTCGTTATTTTAAAAAATATAATAATCTGTCGTCGTTTGAGTGCCTCGTGTTTGTTTTAAAACGCCCATGTGTGTTGAGCACTCGGCAGAGAGAGCGCATGCCGGCTCTGGCCGAGCTTTCCTCTCACCCATTTGTCGTTCACGTCCCCCGTGCCCTGCCGCTCTCGTCCCGTGCCCTGCCACTGCCCCCAGGACCAGTACGAGCTGGTGCACTGCGCAATAGCCCAGCTGTTCCAGCAGCAGATACTCGCATCCAGCCCCTGCTTGAATTCCAACTTGCCTGCGCTCGCCACGGTGAGTACAACACAGCGCACCGATGTTCATCCACCCACAAACCTACTTGGAGGTTTTTTTTACTTGGCCGTTTGGCATTTCGCAAGGTTTTTGGCCCGTGCCCAGCCAATGTGATTACACGAAAATAATTAATTAGATGCACCCACATGCATGTGCGCGTAGTCCGAACAGCAACCGCCAACGTGTGGTCAGGCCTCTTGGATGTTGTCTGTGTAGCGTGGCAATTATGTAGTCAACTAAAGAGTTTGACGTTTAAGCAAGGTATTTATTCCCTTTGAACAGTAAACACTGTGGTTCCATTCCCCATACAAAATACAAACGTATATGTAAGCTGGAGGCCTGAGACCAAGTTACCAGAATGTGCCCAATCTTATCAGATCTCAGAAGCCAAGCGGGTGTTGAGCCTGCATAGTGCGTCAATGGTCGACCACCGTTTACAAGCGGGTTGTTATTGGCTGCTACGTGACTACATTGTGGGGAGCAAAGGGCACCGCATCTGATGTTGCACTACTTTTGTCCACTCGCATCTGTGCTCCCTGCATCTATGCTGGTCAAGTGACCCTCACAACCTGCAGGGCATGGGGAGGTCCTCATTGAGCAGTGGATTTATAAAGCCAGAAACCCAAAATAAGATAGACTATTACTAAACACTGTATTGCCAATGTGATTTCGAATTTGATTCACATTTCAAACTTAAGTGTGTAGGATATTCTGAAGTGGTCACGGTAGCCATACCCAAACCTAGAATCTGAAGAAATGTTGATGCTGCAGCCCATGGCATGAATGAGTGTTGTGGACATGGGAGCAAGATCGCAGGTGATTCGTTTGAATTTGATTGTTCATCGGCGTTGAATGGTGGGCATTAATCCCCAAGCGACACCTTGGCATGCACGTTCTGGCTCTCATTTCCTATGTTCGTGCATCCTTTGGGTTTGTAAAAAAAAAAATCCAAGTATCGTTGAATAAAGTAAGCAGCATTCATGGGCTTTAACTGAGATTCGCCGGTAAGCCAAGCTGGCGTTTCCTCGACCCATGTTGCGGTAACACAATCTCGTCTTCCCTCTTCCCCCGTCGGCTGTGGATTAAATCGTTCACCTAATGTGAGGAGCACTCCGTTTGACTGCCAGCAGGAAATGATGTGCCCAGAGAAATGTGCCACAAAACAGTTTTTTCACGCAGGTTTTGAAAAAATAATAAAAATAAAAATCCAACCCCCGCACCGTTATATAAAAGCCCACACCACTTGGCTTCTAGGGACTTTTTCATTTTACTTACAAATGATGAATTGCATAAATGAGCCATATCACAGTGCATTGTTTGGGCATTGTAATGTTTAAATATTCACTTTCCTATGCACACAGGACCATTGATATAATGAGAAAAAGAGTATAATACAAACAACCCAAACAGCTTTTTATTAATTAATTGTCACAACATTGTAAGAGCTTGAGCGAGAGAGCCAGTATGTGAACTCTCCATTCTTTTTCTCCTGTGAGAACTTCCTCCTACGTGAACTCCCCTTCTCCTTAGAATACACTTTTGGACCGCAGATAACCACCCCAGGCAAGTGGCCATGCATGCTGCATATGTGTGGCTAAAGAGCAGCATATGCATAATATAACAAAATAAATAATGCCTCCTTCCTGTATTTTTCTCTCCACATAAAAACGATTTATTTTTACTAAATCCATTGTCTTCACAGCCTTTTTGGGTGTGCGTCTTATCAGCAGCTTTGATTCGATATAAGTAACCTCTCAACCAGTTTTGACATTGGGTTTTCTCATCAGCAGTCGTGCTTGCTTGAACCAATGCTGGTGAAGTGACCGATGTTCATCGGCAAGGACCCTTGAAAAAGATGTACTCCCAGAAGGCCGTGCAGCTGATGAGTCGTGTCATAACAACTTATTTTGTATGTGGAGAGACAAATATGGGAAAGAGGCAGAAATGTATTTTAATGAGCACTCCACAACACCACTTAATGATTATGATGTCCTATAGTATAATTTGAATGAATCGTTTCATAATATTACACAGTATAATAATAGCTATGCAGAACCAAATGCAGAAATGTAAGACTAAAAGTGGCAACGGGCTGTGAGAGTTGTAAATCTCTACTACGAATGGCTTTTTATTTCCCCTGAGGCCAAAATTGAACCAGTGTCTTGGGTAAAATATCGAAGAGTCATTTCTGAAGACGGGTGGTGACATTGAAGAATGTCGATAACAAAAGGCTCGACACACTCGTCAACAAACTTGCCCTAAGAGAGAAGCGGATATAATCGGCAACATCTTGGGCAATGAGCCTTCTTTATTGTGCTGAAAGAAGAAAGTCAATTTGTCTGAAACATCGTCAGTTTTATCGATTTTTTCGTATTTTTATGGAAGTGTTGACGTGTGCGAGTTATTTTTTGTTCATTGTGCTTGTGCACCCGCTGCCAACGTGAACAGCATTGCCAAGTAATCCGTCTAGATGGATCGCCTCTGTGATGTTTAATGCGTTTATTCATTCATTAATATGAGTTCCAGTATGATGATGTATTACTGCTTCCGCACCTCCGATTAGCATGGTTGGCTACGTACGGTGCAAAATAAGTTCAACATGCATATGTAAGCATAGCAGTTGAGGCTTTGTCGATGTGCAATGTTAACGTTATTAATGTTCCTATATTAAAAGGAATCGGTTGCGTCTCTTGAGTGGAGAAGTTGAGCAAAACCAACATCCCAATTTGGTGGAAAAATAATGAGGATGTGGACAGAGCATGCTGACATTGCGGTTGATGGAGCACACTCGCGCAGAATCGGTTACCTTTTTAAAACAAATTATATATTTTTTTACAGTCACTTTCAGGCTTGCTTGTGATGAGTAAACAGGACAGACACGTCCTCGTGCAATTTACCAGGCAGGGAGAAGTCTGCTTTGTGCAAGTTGAATGCTGTACGGCGGCAGCGTGCAAAGCTATGTATCTTTTTCTCCTCTTTACGGAGCAAAATCAATGGGGAAGTGCTCAGGTTAGGCGCGGGTGGGTGCAGTGTAGCTCCGGTCATGGTGAAAACAACTTGGCGCAGAACTCCTGCTGTGCTGTTGGCTGTTGGTGTTTGGTGGCTGGCCTCGGGCGGTAGTAAACCATGTATGTGCTCACCAATCTAGCAGTGGATCGAGGTAGTTTATACGTTTTCGGGCTAGTGGACAGAGATGCTGACACACTTTTGAAGTTGGAGTGTCTTACTAGTGAATGGTTTATCAGTGGTTATGGGTTAGGTTACTGATGCACAGCGAGCCGTTACTACGCAGTGTATTTTGTGATTCTGCATTGGCTTTTGGATGAGAGCATGAATAACAAACAACTCGACACATTCGTCAGTAACATTGTCTTTAAAAGGGAAATATGGGCGATGTTTCGGCCAATGGTTTCTTCTTCACAGCACATATGAGGAGACCATGCTGCAAAAAGTCACCCTTTATTTTCTCTTAAGGCCGTGTTATTGACAAATGTGAGTTTTTCATTACTTGATCATTACTGTTGGCCCACTATATATCGTACTGAAAACTTGAGTTTACATGTGTTAAAGCAAATGTAACTTCTATGCGATACTTGTTTTACATCTCCTGAGTCATAAAACTGGGGCTCTGTTTTAGAGCTCCAGTTTATTTAAAAGTTCTGTCATCAGCATAAACAACACGTGTCATCCTGTTGAAGGGAGAAAAAGGTGGGCTCGAAAGATGCCATTATTCGTGCCAAAATGGTGTGTGTTTCACCCCTTGGCTGGGTGTCATGGGTGTCCGGAAGGGAAATGCTGGCAAGGGGATGTTGTGAAGGAGGGTAAAAACTAAAAACTATTTTTTATTTTACCAGGTAAGGCCCACAGGTCACTTCTTTTTCAGAAGTGACCTGGCCACAAATGATAGCTCAACGAAGTGGCTTATTGCATGCACAACTATTGCAGCCAAATACTCTAAACGTGTGTTGATCTAAATGTGGAGGGAAAAACCGGAGGACTCCAAATATACAGTCATCAAGGTCGGATCGAACCCACGACCTCCTGTTTCCCTCGCGAGGTATTTGACATCTCGCCACCGTGGTGAGAGTGCACGGGACAAGTCGAGGAGGACAATCCAGGTTCTGTCAAGCTTAGACTTGCCAGCATTTCCCTTCCGCGCACTTATCTCGGTGTGTTGCCTTGGTTATTCTCTACAGAAGCATTTTTCCCCCTGCTGGCCCCCCCCCCAAAAAAAAAATAGTTTCATTTATTTATTTAAAAGTTACAAAAACAACCAGAGCTTTCTTGCTTGGGTCACATTTATTTATTATCTCTGCTGCATGCTCGCTTGTAAGCATTTAATCAAACGCGTTCCAGCGTACGCTCGCCTATGCTCGTTTTAAATGTAAACACGGTCTCCGTGTTTGCACACTGGTGCGGTTTTGTATTTCATTTTTATTCAAAATTGGAGCGTAACCGGTGGTCACTTGTATGCCGAGGACGTGCCTGTAGCTTTTGCAGTGACATGTGGCTTTCTCCCAGCTGAGTTAGCCCGCTTCCCTGCATTATTTACACACTGCATTGTGGGCCACCACCGTCAATCTCCCACAGGATGTACGGTATTTCTGCATTGCACTAACATTGAAGGCCTGAACAGTTGACAGCAATTGCACCTTTTCCTTTTTGAGCCACTCACCATGTGGTGGACGATTGCCACTGATTGTTATCGCATTCACAGCGATTGGTGTGGCACTGCTGTATCCAGGCTCTGTCTTGTTGGTAGAAGTGGCAACACTTTACAGCACATTCAAATACCACAACCCCAAAGGCAATTGTTTTAAAATGTCTACATGGACAGAAGGGTGAGGCTTTAATGCGCGCAGAGGCATGTTGAGATCCACCGCCTCTTACGCTCACGATACATGCATCAAATCACGCGTGATAATCTAATGATTATCTATTTACTATTCATCCCTATTCGTATTATGATTTTCGCATGATATGCTATGGCTAGTGTAATG